GTATAAAAACCATTACGCCTATGGAGAGTCCCCATAAACCATAAAAACAAACCTGTGTGTGTGTGTGTGTGTGTGTGTGTGCGTGTGCTTGTACCTCTGTTGAGTGTAGCTGAACTGTTAATGTCTCCAGCCATGAACGAAGACTCGGACTGCTTCCTCACCGTGTCGTTCCACATGCGGCGGATTCGGCTCTGTGAAGAACAACAGCGTGTCACACACACGGCTCTCACATGATCACAGCCAGATCACTTCACCTGCTACACACAAATCAGTCAGAAATCAAACTCAACAGCTTTTCAAGTTCGTTCAAAACATCACACAGATCTGGAACGACATGAACAAAATGTTCATTTTTTGCTTTATCCTGCCTGAGACGCTACCAGCTCACTGCAGCAGCGTTTGTTTGTCAGTATAAAAGCAGAATTCTGTGGTTCCTCATCTCTCTGACATTTACACACACACACACACACACACACACACACGCTCACACTCACACTCACACACACACACACACTCACACTCACACACACACACACACACTCTCTCTCTCACACACTCACGGGTCAGACGAGTGTGTTTCTGCTGCATGTCAGATTATCCTTACATGCTTGCACACGACCCCTAAAAGGTCAAAGGTCAAATTGGAAACCTTGTCTCTATGGAGATCATGTAACCAGGCAAACCGTTACCATGGAAATTATATATTAAAGCACAGATACATAAAGCCGAAGATTTGTATGAGACAAGGACAACATACAATGGAAATCCTGCCTGCGTCACGCTTCAGTCAGGGAACTCGAATGGAAATGAAGATTTCTCAAGAAAGGAATGAATTCTTTGTGCTGGGACTGAATTGACTTTTTTTTCTAAAAAGCCTGTAGCAAACTACAAGACTAGCACTTGTTTTACAAGATAGAATATATACTGCGTGTAGCATGCAAATGTTTCAATATATTTGTGCCCTAAATATGCATAAAATACTGTTATTCAACAGACCGAATTGTAAAAAAAGCACATACAAATGAATCGTTCTTTGCCTTTCTGTAAAATACTACAAGACTACATTTTTAAACGTACTGTCAAAATGTGCAGTAAACAGTAGTGCATTTTTGGTATACTGTAAAAAGCATATATAAATAAATGAATTAAATAATATCTGCTATGACGTTTAACTCAAATCATCTTCCCTTGGAGTTTTATCAGACTTCCAAAAAGATTAACACACCAAATTGGATTAAAAATGCAAAATATGATAATTGGAAACCGTATTCTGAACGAAAAATGTAAAATGAGGTAATGTGACAACGATATAAATTACTGCTGTTAAAAATGATTATCACTGCATACTGCATACCATTTTACATGCAATTAAAAATATATATAAAACAAATATATTTTAAATATACGAGTCAAGAGTTTGGAATAATGGAATTATTAATTATAATTAATTATTAATTAAATGATTTCTGAAGAATCATGTGACAGTGAAGACTGAAGTAATGATGCTGAAAATCCAGCTTTGATCACAGAAATAAATTACATTTTAAAATAAAATAAAAAAGTAAAGTAAAGACCGGTAGTATACAAATTTACATTTATGAAAAATCTCTTATTGACTCTTACTGAAGTACTGCTTGTAACACAATGCAAAATGAATGAATAAAAGAAATGCGATGCACTGAGCTGATCAGGTGTGTGGTGTATAAAGACATAGAGCTGATAGTTACTTGTTCATACTGTAACTGTGAGGAGTTTGTCATACAAGGCGGGTGATGAACCTTGTGATGAAAGAAGAAAGACACAAAGAGAGAGAGAGTGAGAGGGAATACACACACAAGGACACTCACAAAATCTCTTGTGTTTGTGCTGCTGTGTTTGTGTGTGTTTGTACCTGCGACGCAGAGGAATATCGTCCCAGGCCACGCGACGACGAGCTCTTCACCGAACCCACAGACGAGTCCACACTCTTCCCGCTGTAGCAGTGAGTCCGCAGACACTTCCCGTACTCTTTACGCACCTACACACACAGACAGAGACACA